TCATTACATACGAGAGTGTGTTGAAAAGGAGCAGATTAAAGTTGAGCACATCAGCGGAGATCAACAACGGGCTGATATTCTTACAAAAGCATTGCCAAAGCTGAAGTTTGCTGAAATGAGAAAGATTCTTGGGGTAGAAAAGATTGAAGACTCGAAGGACTCAAAGAAGTAATAGTTAGGGGGTTTATTTTGTTGGACTCGAAGGTCAAGATTGGGAGGGTGATTGTTGGACCAATCTTGACATTCAGTAATAGTTAGGGGGTTTATTTTGTAATTATGTTGAAGTCTTTATTTGTTAATAATTAGGGTAGAGTCAGTCATAATTTTAGGAGATATATCTCAGATGGATTTGAGATTATCATAGCTTGTAGGAGTAGGAGATGTTATGCTTGGAGAGCAAGGCTGATGATTTAACTTGGTGGACAAGGTTAACTCATCTATAAATAGGGATAGTTTCTCTGTATTTTATGCATTCAAAGTTTTTCAATTAATTGGAGAAGGATTTCCAATAAGTTCTTGTTCTAGATTTTTGTTTTCTGTTTATCGAGATCTGGTACCAATAACTTCAATAGGTGCCGTGATGGTGCTAAAATCCCTCACGAATCTCCGGTAGAAAGAGGCAAGACCATGAAAACTTCGAACTTGTTGCATAGTGGTGGGGGTCGGCCATTCTCTAATGGCTTGCGTCTTCTTTTCGTCCACCCGTATGCCTTCACTTCAGATAAAGTATCCCAAGAATTCTGTTTCATACGAAAAGAATTGGCTCTTCTCGAGGTTGCCGTAGAGTTTCTCCTCGTCCAACTTCTTAATCACCAAAGTGAGGTGATTAGCATGATCTTCCTTATTTTTGCTATAAATCAGAATGTCTTCAAAGTAGACAACGACAAAATGACCTATAAACGGCTTCAAGACCTGATTCATAAGCCGCATGAACGTGCTCGGGGCATTGGTTAATCCAAATGGCATAACCAACCATTCGTATAACCCAAACTTCGTCTTGAACGTTGTCTTCCACTCGTCTCCTTCAAAGATTCGAATTTGATGATATCCACTCCTAAGATCAATTTTTGAAAAGATTTTAGAGCCATGCAATTCGTCCAACATGTCTTCCAAACGGGGAATCGGGTACCGGTACTTGATAGTGATCTTGTTGAGAGACCGACTATCGCAGCACATACGCCACGTTCCATTCTTCTTGGGTACCAAAAGTTCTGGGACAGCACACGGGCTAAGACTTTCTCTCACGAAGCCCTTAGCTAACAACTCATCAACTTGACGTTGAATTTCCTTCGTTTCTTCGGGGTTCATTCGTTATGCTGGTTTGTTGGGTAGGGCAGCCCCCGGAATGAGGTCAATTTTGTGTTGGATGTCTTGTTTAGGAGGGAGACCGTGTGGAACATCATCGGGGAAAACATGGGCATATTCTAGGATGATAGGCTCGGCTAAGGGATGAGGCTGTTTTGGGTAGTTTGATGGTTCGGCTTCTCCATCTTCCAATAGGATCAAATCTTTAATCCCATTGAATTCATGTTGTTCCGCTTGAAGGATAGTGGAGATAAGGACGGGAGGTTGTTCTTTGGTTGGTTTGGCCATGGGTGTAGGAGGAGGTAAAGGGGTAAGGGTGATCTTCTTCTTATTCATCAAAAATGAATAAGTATTGGCATAACCATCATGTTGCACACGGTGATCAAACAGCCATGGTCGTCCCAAGAGGATGTGGCAAGCATCCATCGGGATGATATCACACCACACGTCGTCTTTGTACGAGCTGCCAATGCTCAAGGAAATGAGACTTTGTGTGTCAACACGTAGGCCCTTGCCATGATTCAACCATTGAATCGTATATGGTTTCGGGTGTGGTGACGTCTTCAAACGTAGCTTGTCTACCATGGTTTTGGAAGCCACATTGGTGCAACTTCCACTATCGATGATGAGGGAACACACCTTCTTTTGGACAGTGCAACGGGTGTGGAATATGTTTTCCCGTTGTAGTTGTTCCTCGGGGCATGCTAGAGTGCTCAACGTCCTTCGGATGACCAAGAGTTCGCCATCATTGGGACCTACGTACTCATCTTGTTCTTCCACTTCTTCCGCTTCTTCTTCAACCCAAGTTGGGTCAAATTCTTCTTCTTCACATTCGACAATGCCCATCACCTTCTTATTAGGACATTCGTTGGCATAATGACCTCGTCCTTGGCACCGAAAGCAAACATGTGCTTTCTTGGTAGGATCAGCCCTGGGTGTGAAAGAGGAGGAGGGGTTTCTTGAGGTAGATGGGGAGGAGGAGGAGGGGTTTGGACCGTGGGCAGTAGTGGGGTTTTTGGGGGTAGTGTAAGGTAATTTTGGTGAAGGGTAAGGTGGTTTGGATGTGGAGGAGTAGGGCCGTGGGGAAGGGGTGTTATTTTTGGAGAAAAAGGCTTTGGATTTCTTATGTTGAGCTTCAACTTTGAGGGCCAACTTCGTGAGTTCTTCAAGAGAGTCGTAACCTTGCAACTCCACCGTGTTGGCTATTTGTAGGTTTAGACTGAATAGGTAACGAACAAAGGTTTGTTCGTCATCTTCTTGCAAGTCACATCTCAGCAAGAGCTCTTCAAACTCTCGGTTGTATTCTTCAACAGACTTAGAACCTTGCCTAAGCGTTTGAAGCTTAGCAAAATTCTCACGAACATATTCGGTGGGTAAAAACTTCTTTTTTAGAAGGGACCTCATTTTTGCCCACGTGGACACAGGTTCTTTGTCGTTTCTTCTCCTCTTGGTGCATGTATTAGTCCACCAAGTTGATGCATACTTCCGGAACTTTAAGGCCACTATCTTGACCTTCTTTTCATCGGAAACATCTTTGAAGTCAAAGACGTGTTCCACTGTTTCTATCCACTCGAGGAACTCCTCCGGGTCGTTCTTCCCTTCAAAAGTTGGAATGTCAACTTTGAAGTCAGAACCTTCAGTGGCTTTAGGCTTCATGGTTCCACTAGAGCTAACGTCTTCTTCACGGTCACTTCCTTGGAGCTCGTTGAGTTTTATCTTCGTAAGCTTGGCTACCTCTTTAGCCAAGTACTCTACTTGTGCTTTCAAGGCTGTATTTGAGGCAATGAGCTCTTCATGGGACATAGTTCGGGATTCATTTGACATGGTTGAAGTGGGAAAAGGTAAGGAAAGTCGTTTAGTTTGGCTGTGGGGGTTTTTTGGGAAGAGGGAAGGGAGTGATGGTGAGTGGCCCTTGGGGATGTTCAACACTTAGCTTTGATACCAAATGTTATACCCAAGCTCAGGGTTTTATAGGTACAATCTTGTTAATGGCAGGGAAGGGGAGATAATCGATTGTCCAAAGTGGATAATTGATTATTAAGGGCTTTAGGTTCTTGGGCAATTTTCTAGGGATTTTCTAAGAAGGGGGATAATTGATTTACAGAAGGGTGTCAATCGATTACTGAGAGTTGCAGGTTTCTAGGAAAGGCTGATAATCGATTATCTGAGAGTGATAATCGACTATTGAAGGCTGCAGGTGTTTCTCGAAGGGTGGTTAATCGATTAATAGTGGTGATAATCGACTATTTGGCAATTTGGGACGGGAAAAGAGGTATTTCTTTGGGACTATGCAACACCAATAATAGCAGGCCAAATGTTTCATACGAATATAGTAACATACGAAAACAACCAGTCAGCCAAAAACGAAGCGTCACAATCAAAACATATTGCCATCAAAAGTTCCAACATAATACGACCGACACAATTAACGAAATAAACGGCAATCAATTTCAGATAAGGCCAACAACGCACTTGGTTGTGACCATCATCATAGCAAAAAAACCAAAGTTTAAAAACCACACAATTTTCACCCCTTTATGAAGTCCCTTGATTTCTTCAAATTCATTTCCTTCATTTCGTTAACTTCAGCAACTTTTATGCAAGCACAATACTTGGACCTCAGGGTATTCACTGCCTTCCGGTCTTCCTTGGACAAACCACAGTCCCATCCCTTCAACCCTCGGCCCACCATATTCATAAACGGATGTGACATCCCTCCACGACATTTTCAAACGTGTTGGTTTCTGAGAACACACCTTTCTAAGCTTCCCTTCTGTTATACCCAAGCTCAGGGTTTTATAGGTACAATCTTGTTAATGGCAGGGAAGGGGAGATAATCGATTGTCCAAAGTGGATAATCGATTATTAAGGGCTTCAAGTTCTTGGGCGGGGATTTTCGGAGAAGGGGGATAATCGATTTACAGAAGGGTGTCAATCGATTACTGAGAGTTGCAGGTTTCTGGGAAAGCCTGATAATCGATTATCTGAGAGTGATAATCGACTATTGAAGGCTGCAGGTGTTTCTCGAAGGGTGGTTAATCGATTAGTAGTGGTGATATTCGGGACAGGAAAAGAGATATTTCTTTGGGAAGGGGAACAAGCCAAGTTGGTGTTAAGGGATATTACACACCCTTATCTTAACTTGAGGTTTAGTCTAGCATTCAAATAAGATATAACACACTTATTTAAATAACTAGAACCTAAAACTCACACTCAAGAGAACCACTCTTAAGATATAGGATTCGGAATTTGGAATGAAACACACAAGTGAATCACTTTGATTTAAAATGGAATACAATGTGTTTTACAATGGCCTATGGCCGAGATATATATAAGCACACCAGGGGGAGAGGGAAGCTTCCTAGTACACTCACTTATTTGGGGAATAATATCCACTTATTTTAATGGAATGAAAACAAGGAAGAAGGGTGAGGTTGTGGGGGAGGGTGTTTTCAGCCTGGTGTGGGGAGTGAGGGGTGGAAAATGAGACTCACTTATTTGGTTGGAAATGGGGATTCTTTTATGGTGGGTTTTGGTGGGTTATGCACGGTCCAAGTGGGGAAACAAGGAAGGAGGGATATGGCAGGTTTTTTGGCTTCTTATGAGTTGGGTTTTCTTGATGAAAATATATGCTGAATTGTTCTTGGCCTGTTATGGTTGTTTATTCAGCGTGGTTGGGGAAACACAAGGGGGCCACTGCTAGTACACATTGGGGAAATAATGGGTTGGGTTTTGGCTCCTAGTTTGCGGCCATTCCAGGGAAAAGAAAAGGGTTTGTGGATTTAGCGTGTGGTTTGAAGTGTGATGAGGTGTTGTGGGGGTGTGTGGGTTCGGCCA